GCAAATTCATATCCCGCGATTGTAGGCGAAATCATGAGCAGCGGTTTAGGCTCTATAGGTTTTTCATGGTTCTCCTCGCCGGCTTCCACCGAATTAGAGATGATTATAATGAACTGGCTGGGAAAATTATTAGGATTGCCAAAGCAGTTTCTGAATAGCGACGAGGGCTACGGCGGAGGTAACATACAGGTAAAAAGTAACTAACAGATTAGAAAAGAATATTTTCAAACACTGAAAGTGACTTTGAACAATTTTATTTTGTACAGCAATGACTTTTGATGATATTTTTTTACCAAATAATTGAAATTATTATAATAATATTTTGTATTTATTATAGAATATTTTATTTATTATAACATTTTCCATTATAGAACATTTGTGAATAATGTTTTAATATAGTGTAAAATGATAGGTATTTACGAGGCGAACACAGTGTTACAAAGCAATAACAATTTTATTATTCGAAACAATTCAATATTCGTGGTTGTAAAATTATGCTAAACTTGAATATTTTGAACGCGTCTGTTCGAAGATTCCAAATGTGAATTAACATTACGATTAATACCGATATTTTGACTAGTACGGATTAATACACGAGACTCACACTAGAGGGAGTCTCGCTAGCATAGAGTTTCTCACTAGTGAAAGGAACTTAGATATGATATATCTGTAAAAAAAATTTAATATTTAATAATTTAGTTTTGGTTCGAATCACTTATAACTATTTTGAATTTTAGTAAAGGTGGAGGTTGTAAGGAACATTGTATGGTGTGTGTAACAAATTTTCGGTGAAAAAGAAGAAAGTTGAATCATTTATAATTCGTAATGTAAATTAAATTTATAACAAATTTTTTGGAAAGATTGTTTTTAAAAAGTGTTAATTTAAAATGAAAAATTAATCAGAGTATAGAGAGAGAATGAAAAGAATATGAAAATTTGATGCAGCTCTCTAAAATCTGATACTTTTTGGTAATTATTAACAAATGCGAGGAATACGAGTATTTGTTTATTATTTAGAAAGGTGATTTAAGTAAGTGGTAATGAACTTGAATTGTGAATGTTTTTTTATAATTCAATATAGGTAATTTTTAATAAAAAAAATTATCTAATGAAAAAAAAA